GCGCAAACCGGAGAGCGCGCGATGGCGACAGAAGAAAATAAAGAAGGCGCTAGGCCGAGCCACGTGAAGCCACGGCTCACGTTCCGGGGCTAGCATCGGTTATCGTTCAGGCGTGTCTATCTTTCGCTCCTGTGGCATAAGCCTACAAGTGGTGACCCGGACGAAGACAATGACTGACTCGAATGCACCCTCAACCGAACAAGCCTCACGTCCGCAGGACGTCTCGGCCGTGCAACTGCGTCTCCCATCTTTCTGGCCACAGGACCCGCAAGTTTGGTTTCATCAGGTCGAGCCGCAATTCTCCTTGTACCGCATCGCCTCGGAAACGACACGCTACTACCACGTAGCCTCCGTCCTTCCTCCTGACGTTGCCAGCGAGCTCTCCGACGTCCTCTCCAACCCCTCGGACACTACGCCATATCAGCACCTTAAAATCAAGGTGCTAGAACGATTCATGCCTTAGGAACGCGTCCGCCTACAGCAGCTCCTGGCAGAGGGGGACCTTGGCGACAGGTGCCCCTCCCAACTACTGCGCCGAATGCGACAGCTTCTTGGGAAACACGACGTCTCTGCCCACTCAGCGTTGCTTCGCGAGCTCTTCCTTCAACGCCTTTTTCAGCCAATCCGTCTCGTCCTCGCGGCGGCCGGCGACGTCAATCTCGACCGCCTGGCGGAGCTCGCCGATCAGGTTCATGAAGCGACCTCCCCATCTGTCAACGCTGTCTTACCACCAGCAGCCACAGCGATTTCGCGCCTTGAGGCCCGCATCCACGAACTCGCCGCCTCCATTGCCGCACTCCGGAGCCCCCTGCAGGAGACTCGTTCGCCTCGTTCCGGTCGTCGAGCTCTTCCACGCACACGAGATGCTCGGAGTCCCAGCCCTCCACCCCTCTGCTGGTACCACCGGCGTTTCCGACACCGAGCCACGAAGTGTACACCCCCATGTTCGTGGCAGGGAAACGCCTGCTGGGATCACTGACGGCGGCGCGTGATCTCCCTTCTCGTCCCAGCCGCCTTTTCATGGTCACGGACCAGCTATCGGGCGCCAGGTTCCTTATAGATACGGGCGCGGAAATTAGCGTTGTGCCCCCGACTAAGGCTGATCGTTCAATGTCACAGGGGCAAGTGCTTCGTGCTGCCAACGCCTCGTCTATAGCAACGCATGGGCTCCGATCTCTCACCCTCGACTTCGGCCTTCGCTGCATTTTCCGGTGGGTTTTCGTCATCGCAGACGTGGTTCAACTGATCATCGGCTCGGACTTCCTCTCATACTTCGATTTGGACGTCAGCGTGCGGCGGCGCTGCCTCATAGATGGTAAGACTCGTCTCTCCATCTCGGGAGTCCTGTCCGACATCGCTCCAATGGCCATCCGCATGCTGATACCTTCCTCAACGTTCGAAAAAATCTTGGCGAGTTTCCCGGAGTTAACTAAACCGTGCAACCTCACTCAGCCGCCTAAACATACGGTGACACACCACATCGTCACCCGGGGTCCACCGGCAGCCGCTCGACCATGCCGCCTGTTCGGAGACCGCCTAGCTATTGCTAAACGGGAGTTTGACCACATGCTGCAGCTCGGCATTATCCGCCCGTCGTCAAGCGCTTGGGCTTCCCTGCTGCATTTGGCGCCAAAGCGTGATCCTGGTGACTGGCGTCCTTGTGGGGACTATCGAGCGTTGAACGCCAAGACTGTCCACGACAGCTATCCTCGACCTCACATCCAGGATTTTACATCGCGCCTCGACGGCTGCACAATTTTCAGCAAAATGGACCTTGTTAAGGCGTACCACCAGATTCCTGTCGAGCCCGCCGACATACCTAAGACCGCCATCACGACGCCCTTTGGGTTGTTTGAATACGTGCGGATGCCTTTTGGACTCCGCAATTCGGCTCAAACTTTCCAGCGGTTCATTTCTGAGGTCACACGGGGTCTTCCTACTGTGTTCGCGTACCTTGACGATGTCCTCATCGCCAGCCGCACACCTGAAGATCATGAGCACCATCTACGCGCTCTGTTCCAACGTCTTCAGCAGTACGGCCTCGTTGTGAACGCTTCTAAGTGTACTTTCGGCGCATCTGAGCTCGAGTTCTTGGGCCATCACATATCATCCAATGGAATACGCCCTCTCCGGTCCCACGTTAAAGCAATGCAGGATTATCCTCAGCCTACAACACTGCGCCAATTACGCCAATTCCTGGGGCTTGTGAATTTTTCCAGGCGCTTCATACCCCACTGTGCCGAACTGCTACGACCGCTCACCGACCTCCTTCGGTCTACCGCCGGCCCGTCCTCCGCCATTCCTTGGTCGTCAGAGGCCCAGGCCGCCTTTGCTGCTGCTAAACAAGCGGTCGCTAACGCCGTGCTTCTCATTCATCCACGCAGCAACGCCCCTACTCGGTTGATGGTGGACGCATCCAGCGTGGCCGTCGGAGCCATCTTACAGCAGTGCATTAACTCCGAGTGGAGACCCTTGTCGTTTTACTCTCGGTAGCTACTTCCTGCTGAGACCCGCTACAGCGTCTTTGGCCGGGAATGACTAGCCATCTACGCTGCAATACAGCACTTTCGGCATTTCCTGGAAGGATGCTTGTTTTACGTGCTGACTGACCATAAGCCCCTGGCGTATGTTTTCCGCACTAACTCATCCAAGTACGTGCCCCGTGAACTCCGCCATCTGGCTTATATATCGGAGTTCACGACTGACATCCGCCACGTGAAAGGAGCTGACAACACCGCCACAGATGCCCTTTCTCGTATAGCCGCGGTTGACTCTCCACCGCCAACCATCGACTGGGCCTCATTCTCCTCGGCACAGCAGGATGATAGAGAGCTTGCCGCTTTTCGGGAGAACCCCCGTTCTCTCCGACTACGCCTGGTGCCTCATCCATTATCATCTGAGCGCTTGTGGTGCGATGTCTCAGCTGACCTTCCCCGCCCTTTCGTTCCCGCTTCATTACGACGCACCGTTTTCCACTCCTTACATGACATCTGTCACCCTGGCATTCGGGCTACTCAGCGTCTTCTCACCCAGCGCTATGTCTGGCCCGGAATCAACGGTGATGTGCGCGCTTGGACGCGCATGTGCCTGCCCTGCCAGATGAAAAAGGTCCCCCGTCATACTAAGACGCCGCCCTAACCTTTCCTTCCACCCGGCCGTCGTTTCGACCATGTTCATCTAGACATTGTGGGCCCTCTACCAGTGTCTCAGGGGTACCGTTATATATTGACCATGGTCGATCGCTTCACACGCTGGCCAGAGGCTGTTCCAATTCAAGATATCACAGCCGAGACAGTTGCCCGCGTTTTCATTTCTACGTGGGTATCCCGTTTTGGCTGTCCTGGCACCGTGACAACAGACTGTGGACGTCAGTTTGAGTCCTCGCTGTTTACTTGCCTTAATCGCATCCTCGGAGCCAGACATTGCCGTACCACGGCTTATCATCCCTGCGCCAACGGCATGGTGGAACCCCTTCACCGACAACTGAAGACCGCCTTGACTACCCGCCTCAATAGAGCCACCTGGGTTGATGCCTTGCCACTGGTGCTCTTAGGTTTACCGAGCTGTCATCCGGGCCGACCTGCAGTGCTCAACAGCAGAGCTGGTGTATGGCACTTCTCTACGGCTTCCGGGAGACTTCTTCACGTCAACGAAGCTACCAGACCAGCCACAGCAATTCCTACAACGCCTCCTCGACTGCGTTCAAGACCTCCGGCCCACTCCACCTCCACCCAGACCTTCCGAACACAAGACCATATTCACCCACCCTGATCAGGCCACTGCAACACATGTTTTCGTGCGCCACGATGCGGTCAGACCACCTTTGACACCAGCCTACGACGGACCATTCCGCGTCCTTCACCGCACCCCCAAAACTGCCACTCTACTTCAGAACGGCCGTGAAGAGACAGTCAGCTTGGACCAACTCAAGCCGACGTACCTGGAGACTGCCCTAGAAAGCCTCTCATCTACGACTGATATTCCGTTGGAATACCACAAACGGCATGTCACATTCCGACTTCCAGTCTACACGGGGGGCCCTGTAGCGCCCTCGTTCGGACGGCGCGCAAACCGGAGAGCGTGCGATGGCGACAGAAGAAAATAAAGAAGGCGCTAGGCCGTGGCACGTGAAGCCACGGCTCACGTTCCGGGGCTGGCATCGGTTATCGTTCAGGCGTGTCCTTTCGCTCCTGTGGCATAAGCCTACAATGTCATAGTGTGATGCCATGATCTTATACTGTTTATATCAATTTGTGCATACGGTTGAACCCTTTTATAAGAGGCATACACCGGGGAGCAATTCTTGTCATGTACATGAGATGTCTCTTATGAGCAGGGTACCCCGTAAGCATTTTATTATGAACCCCTATTTAAATCTACCCACACTAGTGTCTCTTATATCCAATTGTTTCTTACATTAGTGTCTCTTATAAATGGGTTCTACTGCATCAGTGTTCTGGCATTTCACTCCCTGCTTATCTTGTCAGCTGCTTGACTCATTGTTTCTGTGATAAAGTGGCATGTTGAGATTTTCGACTACGGAGCAAAATATGAGAAAATTCAAGGTACATGCTGCAACAACCCTATTTTGAAACAAGAGTATGAATGCTTGCATAGGTGAAATGTGGCATATTGTTTTCCTGAAGCATCTCTAAAAATCAGTAGAAGTTTTCACTTTATATTCGATGATAATGCATAAGTTGATATGCATTCCTTGGGTCGTTTTGTAATTTTACCCTGTGCATGCCTTGCATACTAGCTCGTGCTGCTTACTTCATTCTCCGCTGTCGTCCTGCCAGCTATTAATCGTGCCAATATCGAAGGTTAGATCAGTGTACGGCTTATCGTGGTAAAAAAGTTGCCAGAGGGCGTAACAATGCTTTGAGGGATACGTGCTTTAAGCTATTGACATAAAGTTGTTCTCTTTGGTTAGTATAAATCCTTATTTTAGTTTCCAAGCTTTCACCCTGGGTGCATATAACTACAATAGCACTACACATTACAGCATATGATTGAGCCTTTACATCACAAAGGGCTTCATCGGGGTTCTCTTCACAAGGTGACACATGCACAGGTTGAGCAGGCTCCGAACATGTTCCTTGAGAAGCTGATCCTGCACAAAAGAGAAATGACAGAATTCGTAAACATTCTGCATTACAAAAGAGTATACAGGCACAGTGACAGCTCAGAGTGTACTTACGATATGTTGAACATGCAAGTCTGAGGCAGTTTATATTAAAGAGTGATTGAAAACTGCCTTATCTTGGGCATAGCATGACATGGGTATACTTTGAATAGTTGTAGATTGGTTTACATTTTCTAGCCCCAGATGAGTGCAAGCAGCTCTACTCAGCAGCACGTTTTTATTCTTGTTTACAGTGATGTAGTCTAGCTATGTGAGGAATGCTTTAAATTAGCCCTGTTATGTCCTGAATTTCAAGATATTATCTGGCATCAAAGGTTGGCAAACTCACAAGTGAACTATCTCAAACTCGAAGTGGTGAGTCTGTGTATGAGTGAGTCGGGGTAAGCAATTTAGTCAATTTGAGTCCGATTGAGAAAATGTTTTGTAAGCCTGAGGCCGAATGAGCCCTAAGGGCAAAATGTATTTGCCGAGCGTGAGTGAGCTCCACATGCTTTGCCGACATACGTCTGGCATTAATACATCTTGTGATCACCTGAAATCACGGCAAAGAAGCCAATTTTTAGAGAGTAAAGGAGTGTAACTGAAAGCTTTCCCTTCCTGTCCTGTCATTTCTTCACTGCTTGAGCCGGAGCACGAGAACATGCCGTGTGGACAATGTCACAAGCCACATTCTATGCCTTGTTACTTTTTTTTTTGCTGCAGACCTTTTACAACATACACTCAAAACTACAACACAGCAACACTTCATGTCAAATAGTCAGAGCAATAAGTTTTGGCGGTCAATCAGTCTGGCTCGTGTACGCTTCGTCAACCATGCATTTCTGCAGCCCGCTGTTGCATTTTTGAAAGACTTAGGCACTTTCAAGTTTCTTTCAAATGTGATTGCAAGGCACAGACTCAACACAAAAGACAAACAGAGACACAATGGCAGTGTGAACTCTACATAAGGAGAAAGACACAAAAACGCGCTCTGTGTGTGTCTTCTTTGTGCCTTTGTTTCTCGAAGTGGTGAGTGTACGTTTCAACCAATTGCTAATATTCGTGTCATGCACTTATGACACTTTGCATGAGTTTCGTTGTGTGCATTCTTAGCAGTTCCATGACGCACAATTCAGTGGTAGCCTTAATGTCGGGTAGCATTGTTTTTTTTTTGCAATGTCTGCAACATCATGGTGGTTGCAGAAGAAATTAGAATTCTAAGAAATCTAGGAGAGATGAAACCTTTGCCTATGGATAGTGTAGAGATCGCTGACAGCCAGTAGTGCTTAAATAGCTTGCAGCACTTCCAGAACAGAACTGAATTGGTTTGACAATACACAACTGACTATTTTTTTACAACTGACGATCTTACATTTTAGTTACATTTCTAGATCATCAGGCATCTATATCTCCTCTTTTACAAGCCGTTCTTGTCAGTTTAATCAGTGTGGTAGTTTGCTGCGCATGCTCTCTGGCGTATTGCATCCGTCTAAAGATACTTCCCGAATCAAGGCATTGTTTGGTGGCCTCACTCTCTCTGTTGGCAATGGTTTAAGAGTATCCAAGATTCTACGCTCGAAATGGCTTCGGCAGGCTCGCCTGTACCGTCAAGCCCTGCAAATACAACTTCTCGGGAATGATCGCACAGCAGCTAAACGAAAAAAGTGTCGTGAACTCTTCAGCCTCGTGGACCCTGTCCTGTCCCTTTTTGCTGTGTTTGCGCGCTGAATAAGACTTTCAAATATGAATATCTATGGGCTTACCGTCTTTTCTAATCTAGCAGAACGAATGCCGACTAATAAACAATATAACACAGTGCGACCCACTTATGGTCGATTCCACAGCCTTCCAATGTTTCTTTGTTGTATGCCCTGTGTGGCGTGTCATAATAAATGTTAATAATAACAAACATACCATGCTCATGTCTAGCAGAGGCACGGGCATCTCGCGCTGCTGCTTCCTGAATCCTTGCCAAGTCTTCTTTTTCATGTGCTCTTATGGGCAAGCTCCGCGAAGGCACAGCAGTCTTCTTCAGTCGTCTTCGATTAGGTGTCCACAATTTGGGATCTACATAAAATGAGGACTGAAATGAAATCCTGCAATTTCATGTGCCACAACAACAATCTAACTCAGTGCATTACAGAAAAGCACATGTCGAATACCTTACCGTTAAACGAGCATTCAATGCATGCATGGTAGCCAAGCATTTTACGTAATTCTGCATTCATAACGATGCACCGGCCATCTGTAGAATTAAAAATTAAAATGTTTTGTTGGTTAAACCAGATTGCTAATGCACACTAATGAGACTTAAAAACCAGTCACAAAGCTATCACACTAAAAAGCAAAGACTGTGTCACAAGGAAATTTTTCTCGCGATCAGGGCCGATTCGCATTGCGCTCGGTCCAGATCAATCGCCCCTACAATGCCACTTGCGAATAAGTGTGATTGGAATTGATACGATCGCGGTTACGTTGACGTCTGCACCAAACATGATCCGGACAGGTTTTTGCCGTGTAACAGCGGTCTGTGTTGATTACAAAATCCGATCCGGATTGGCCCTGGTCACAATGAAAGAGCCCGCGAGAAAAAACACTTCAAAGTGCAGTCGCGCATTACGGTCTGTTAAAAAGACCAACAGAATGCCAAAATTGACGCTCCCTCCATTTTATGCGGGTGACAGACGCCCAGGCACTAGCCTCCTAACTCTCCAAAAGCAACAATCAAGTGTTGCGGCGTTTACGTTCATCGTCCCGCATCGGTGGCGCCGTTCATTTCAACAATATCGTTAGAGCATAATCCTTATGCTTTTGTGAACAATGCCAACAATTAGCATTTGGCTTACCGATGCTGCTCAAGAAGTCTCCGGTGACAAAATGTGCGCTGCAAACATTCATTGGCGGCATCGCAGGCTTGCCTATACGGAGCTTCACCACCCACTCCTTCTTGATTCGCACGTCCAGCGGAAACGAATGACGGCTTATCTCATCCTTCACCGCTCTGTTCGTGCACTGAGGCACGCAACACATCCTGTTGCTTTTAGATTTTTTTGCCATCGCGTGCATGAAAGTTAACGAATCATCTCTGAGATTTTGCTCTTGCCGGCCGCTACGTGGCGCGACCGTATGTGTGCAAAGTTCGGTTCGGACCTTTCCTTCCTCCGTGGGTTCCGACAACGCCTCCTCTAGGAAGATGCCTGCCACATGAGAAAAAAAAAACAGCTGCCACGCCCTTTCTCTCCTTCATTTTGAAAATGTTCTCGGTCACTAGCGTCACCTGTGGCGGACGGTGCAACAATGCAACCCTTTGCATAGCCTCCGAATTAGTGGTGCACATTTGCAGGTCTCGAACTATTCTCTACGGACGCGCGCAGATAAAAAAAAAATTCCGCCATATCCACGAAGTGAATGATGATGAGTGGGCGAAGCTCCAGAGGTAAACCTGGTAAACCATGAATCCTCTGTACATTTTGCCCACTAGATTTTATTACATCGCTCCCCCTAGCGTACGTCGCCGCACTAAATCGAACGATTGCCTTCAACCAATGGCACGCGCCGTATGTGACATCATTCCTATTTTATAAGATCTCGCGTCTTTCATCAACTACAAGTACCGCTTTCTAGTTTATAACATCTTGCATCTTTTCATCATCAGCTACAAGTACCACCATCTAGCAAACACTACAAGAACTAAACGAGAGGTGGCTACATACAGGAGACGGTACCGCCATCTAGTGAACACTGCAAGAACTAAACTAGAGGTGGCTACATGGATGGATGGCTGGATGTGGCTGTACCCTTTAGATCGGGCGGCGGCTAACGCCACCTAGCCATAATACTTAGTGAACTAACCATTACATTTATCTTTTTTTTTTCTTTAAATAATGAAGTTGAGGATTCGTACTTCGCAGTGAAGGGTTTAATTTTTACTCGTGCCTTGACTTTAGCCACCAATCAGATAACCTCCTTCTAGTTAAGTCTACCCGCTTAAAGTGTATTTTGCCCTCGCTGTCTTTAAATCCCAGTGCTTTGAAAAACTCTGCGCCATCATCCTGAACTATAGGGTGAAGCCCTTTACAGAACATTATCAAGTGTTCGGCAGTTTCTTCTTCCTCTCCACACGCACTGCATACAATGTCGACCCCTTCGTATTTGGCCCGATATGTCTTGGTTCGCAGTACTCCCGTCCTGGCCTCAAACAGTAGAGAACTACCCCGAGTATTATCATAGATCCTTTCCTTGGCAATTTCCTGCTTAAAAGTTCGATAGATCTCTAGTGCGGACTTCTTAATCATGCCCATTCTCCACATGTCAGTCTCCGTTTCCTTCACTTTTTTCTTAACCGATAGTTCTTTTTGGTTTGGCCACCTGCTGTTTTCTAAGTATTTACCAGTCAACTTCCTGGTTCGCTTCCTCCATTTTGTATCAACATTCTTCATGTACAAGTAGCTGAAAACCTTCCTAGCCCAACGCTCTTCCCCCATTTCTCTCAATCGCTTCTCAAATTTTATCTTGCTGCTAGCTTCCCTGCCCTCAAATGATGTCCATCCCATATCACCTTGTACTCCCTGATTTGGTGTATTCCCGTGAGCTCCTAAAGCAAGCCTACCTATTCCACGTTGCTTAATTTCTAATCTTGCTTGAACTTCTGATCTCATGCACAAGACCGCATTGCTGAACGTCAGCCCAGGAACCATGACCCCTTTCCATATTCCTCTCAGAACATCATACCTATTGTAATTCTACAGTGCCCTATTTTTCATGACTGCTGCATTCCTGTTACCTTTAGTCGTCACGTATATTTCGTGTTCCCTCAGATACTCGGTCCCATTGCTTATCCATACGCCCAGATATTTGTATTTATCTGTTATCTCTAGCGTCACCTTCTGTATTCTAAGCTCACTACCTTCGTCGTCATTGAAAATCATGACTGCTGATTTTCCCTACTGAATCTAAAATCTAACCTATCTCCCTCATTACCGCAGATGTCCATCAATCTCTGCAAATCTTCCTTGTTGTTGGCCATTAGCACTATATCATCTGCGTACATTAATGCTGGTAGTGCCTGATCAATAAGTTTTCCTTGTTTGACTAAAGAGAGGTTCAAGCCCAGTCCACTTCCCTCTAATTTTGCCTCTAATCCTTGTAGGTACATCATGAATAATAAGGGTGACAGGGGGCACCCCTGCCTAAGCCCCCGTTTTACCTCTGCAGGCTTGGATACCTGTTTTTCCCACTTTATAACTACCTTGTTACCTTTATAGACACCCTTTAAAAGATTGGTGACTACATGTTCCACGCCTAGTGTGTCCAGTATTCCCCACAATTCCTCTTGAACCACGCTATCGTACGCTCCTTTGATATCCAAAAATGCTAGCCACAGGGGCCTGTGTTCATTTTCTGCTATTTCGATGCACTGCGTCAGTGAGAACAGATTGTCTTCCAACCTCCTGTGTTTCCGAAACCCATTCTGCAGTTTCCCCAGCACCCCCTCATCCTCTATCCACGCCTGCAGTCTTTCCTTTATAATCTGCATCGCCAGCCTGTAGACCACTGATGTCACTGTTATAGGACGGTAGTTGTTTATGTCAGCTTTGTCCCCCTTTCCTTTATAGATCATGCTCATCCTGCTAAGCTTCCATCCATCGGGAACTTCACCATCGATTATTATTGTACTCACTGCCTCTCTCAAAGCCAGCTTAGACTTCGGACCTAATGTTTTTATCAGCCTAATTGGAATGCCATCTGGGCCTGTTGATGTACTACTAGGAACCATTTCCTCAGCCCTTTCCCACTCTTGTTGTAAAAATGGAGCCATTGCACCACTTGATTCGTCTTTGTCTATTGTGGTGCATAAAGTACTTCTTTGTTGAAATTTTTCTGTCACCTTTGTTCTTATATATTCAATAGCTTCGGCTACATACAGGGGACCGTACCGCCATCTAGTGAACACTGCAAGAACTAAACTAGAGGTGGCTACATACAGGCTACAGGGGACGCACAGCCCACGCCCTAAGGAGCTTCGCCCCTAAAACGCTTAGCTGGTACCGCCCAAGGAGGATACATAAAACTTGCTGGAGTGGAAGGGGCGCTGTGCTAGTGAAGCCAGCTGCCGCCATCTTGCCAGTGGCAAAAAGCGTGCTCAGCGCCCTCGCGAGCTGCTGATTTCGTCCGTTCCTATTTCACCTTGTCGGCTTGTAAAGACAAATGGTTTACAATGGTTGTCTCTTGCGACATTTACGGATGTGCCAACAGGTTGAAAAAAGGTTGTGGCCTCACATTCCACCTGTACGTACACGAAAACGTCTTCGACATAGCCATTCCGCGCTCGTTACTAAAGGGAGCTATAGCTGACATGATCTAAGCGTGCAAAACATAACAGTCCGGATTTGTTTTACAGGTTTACTAAAGATCCCGTAACGCGGAGCCTCTGGGAGTGGGCCGTTCGCCGTGAGAACTAGAATGCAAAAGACTGAGATCACTTCGCTCTGTACACTTCGCGCCGGAGTGCTTTTACCACCTCTTTGAATTCGAAGGGAAGCATATGAAATGGGGTTATCAAGTGGCATTGAAGGCACTTCAACGTGAAGAAGGGTTGTGGCTCGGAAACAACCTTAGGAAAGTCCACGTCCAATGGGAAAAGCAAGAAAATGAAGGTATGATATGCTGTACAACTTATCGAGTGCCTCAGTTGCCGACGCTTTGGACTTCTGCGAACAAAAGCTAAAGCGGCCGCAATTCAAGGCCGCCAGCACAAGATCTACGTTTATTAGAACTTTTGATGGCTTGTTTGACATCTTAAACTCCAGGAACCCGCTGGGTGGATGGATGGATATGGCTGTACCGTTTAGATCGGGCGGTGGCTAGCGCTACCAAGCCGTAATACTTAATGAACCCAAAACTATATTTATTTTTTTTTCCATAAAAAGTGAGTTTGAGGATTCGTACTTTGCAGTGAAGTGTTTAATTTTCACTCGTGCCTTGACTTTAGCCACCAATCAGATAACCTCCTTCTAGTTAAGTCTACTTGCTTAAAGTCTATTTTGCCCTCCCGGTCCCTAAACCCCAGTGCTTTGAAAAACTCTGCGCCATCATCCTGAAATATAGGGTGAAGCCCTTTGCAGAACATTATCAAGTGTTCGGCAGTTTCTCCTTCCTCTCCACACGCACTGCATATTGTGTCTACCCCTTCGTATTTGGCCCGATATGTCTTGGTTCGCAGTACTCCCGTCCTTGCCTCAAAGA